TGGGGAATTCGCGCTATCAAATATGTACTATAATTTCTGTATAGTGCTGCAAACATGACACAAACACCTGGATTAAGGACACACAACTCCATTTTCATAAGTGCTAAGCACAAGTAATTCCAAAGGAACACCATGGGGGCTCTGTAATAGCTTGGCAACCTCTCGGAAGAAAAACTGTGACATTATTTCATTTTCCTAAAGGAAAGTGAAGAATGAGCCCAGACTTATTAAAGCAGAGGTAACAGATCAAACACAATATTCTAATGGTTTCATTCGCAGCCAGGCTTACTTTACTTTTATTGTCTTTTAAATCTAGCTAAACTTGTAGCATTAAAAAAAAAACCAAACATATTTTGACTTTGTAAACTAATGCTAGAGCAACTTGATGAAGGATGAAATGAGACAGGAAGAAGCTGCATTCTGTACTGTAAGCTCAGGGCACTGCTATTTACACTGAGGAACTCGCTACGAGCCACCCCCAGCACAGCACATAACATGAAGTCACTGGAAGTTTGTGTTCAAGAAACTGAAATACAATACTCGCAACGATAAGGAAAGCCTGAAGATTACAAATCAAGTGTGAATAGCTGCAGTGCTAAATAGTCCTGAATCAGCAAAAGATGGACGCAAACTGTACGGTAACTGCAACTAAGGAGATACACATCTGAAATAGAAGGTGCCCGTGACACTGCTGAAAATCCCCTAGAGAGGGGGTTGCCCCACCCCAAATTATCAGTTTTTCCCCTCACTCCTTTGGCTTGAGCCCATATATTCTTTCATCACTCTTTTTCCTTTTTCAGCAGGACTGCAAGAATTCTTCCAGCTTCTGTGCAGTTCTCCAATACACTCAAGGGAGTCCCAAAGAGGGAAGAGACCTTTCCCCAGCCTGCAGTTTCCTGGGTCTGCACACCAGCCTGATAAGGACAAGACTCAACAGACGAGTTTGCGCAACACCTTTTACTGGTGCCACCTCAAATATCCACAGACTCTACCTTTGCCTCCTGGGAAGGGGTTAGGAGACTGTGCCCATTCTTCTCTGAGCAGTATTGAGCACATCTCAGCTCAGAAGCAGACACTGCCACAGCTCTGTGCCGTGCTCGCTCTTAAACATAGGGATCCTGGCAGATCTGGAAGCTCCAAGATCAAGAACTGATGAAAGGAGCACAGATACACTCTATTGCTTCTATTTTTTCCTAAGCAACTTCAGTTGTCCCCTTTGCAACACGATTCTGTGTGAGGCAGATCTTACACTAAGGTTCAAAATCCAGAAATAGTAGCAGCTCAGCCTAATAAACATCTTCATAATATCTGGAGATGAAGAGTCATAGAGTCCCCCATGAGCTTCAAATGCTGTCATGTTACTGTAAGCAACAGGAGCCAATACTTGACTACATTTGATAGCCCTGTATATGTAAACAACCTCAAAAACTGTTTCTCACTAGATTTATCAGTTATGTAAGATGCTACTGTAGTTAAACAGTTTAAGCCCAATGTTTTAAGTGTGATTTTCAAGTGAGGTGTCCCATCAGCTTTTGAGCAACGCAGTATGTGTGAGATTTACTTTTTTTCCTTTCAGTTAGTCTGAAAATAGATACTTCCTTTTATCTGGGCAACACAACAGCATTCAGTGCAATGCTGCTCATCTATCAGCAGTCTGTAAAACCAAATCTGTATTAAGTAGATCACCAACAGATAGACTGACAATCATAATTAACCAACAGCAAAATTTTCTCCTTCAAAAGTGCATCTGCAGGTATTCATGTTTTCACTGCTTTTAAGTGTTTGATTTGCTTGGGCAATTTCAATAGAGTAATTAGGTTAAATGTTATTTAACCACTATTTCTTTCATTTACTATTTAAGTTTTCAGAAGTTTTTGCAGTGTGTATTACACTGAAATGCTTAAAGTGTCACATGTATTGTCTGTCCACACACTCACAGTTGCACAAAACTACTTCCCTTTTCATTTATCCCTATATAAAAGTTAACGGAGGCAACCGCTTACTCAGAGAAATTTCTACATTATTTTTAGCTCCCATTGACTGCCATTTGAATTGGTAAAAACATAAAGATGAGACACTGCTATGTGACATGCAAATATTGCTGGCAGACCTGTGATGCCGAGGACTCTCCTACTAGCAGCATTTCGCCACTTAAGATTTCTATCAAACACTATGAAGTTAGTAGGTCTGGTTTTGCTTTAAGTTAACTCGAGCTTCCTCACACTCCTGTGTGATACCATCATTCTTACTTTACAAAAACCTTTAAAGTTTGAGCCAAATTTAACCTGATCGTTTCCGTATTTCTGAGCACATGGTTCCTTTTTAACATTCAGAAGAACTCTCTCAGTTTTGCATCTCAATCAAATTTTCACACATCCAGCCAGAAACATGAATCACACTTAGTGCTATTTCAGGGAAGGCGTACAGCTATAGTGGCAGGGGAAGTGTGCCATCCACCACATCACACAAACACAGAGGTAATCACAAAGTAATGCTTCACACAGGTTATTTACTAAGTGCAAGTATGTTTCGTTCTCTTCTAAAAAACTTACACTGATTTGCTGTCAGGACACTCCTGACTCCTGTGCTGCAGATCAACGCTTGCTAGAACCTCAAAACATTTTCCGCCACGAAGGCCCCCGTCTGCATTACAGGTATGATAACTTGAGAAATGCAGCAAATATTTTTTGCCTGTCAGAAAATGATATGAATTTGATAATCTAAACTTACTGCTGAAGTACTGCCAACCCCAAGCGTTCAGAACATGTAAGTCAGAACCTACAAAGAACTTAAGATTTCAAAAGCACTGCAGTTTTGAAATCAAGTGGGAGTGTGTCTACGCATTTATTTTTACTTCTCCTTTAGTTACATTTAGGGTTTTCCTGCTTCATGTTTCATACTTCATTGCACAACTGAAAAACCCTCAACTTTGAAGTGTTTTTAATTTAGAGGTTAGATGATCATAAAATTCATTGATTCCAAGAGGTGGACCTTTGTGAAGAACAGCAAGTATTAGAAAATTACAGTAATTACAGATAACATTTTAAAAGGTGTTTAATCAATGTAGTTGAGTATTTACAACCGTGTTTACGTAACCCATTTTTCCTTCTATTTCCTGAGTAGTAGTACCATAAAAGTAAGTTGAAATGAGGAAGGTGCACAACACATTAGGAGATTTAGGAGGGAAGTCTCATAAGTCATTTAAATAAACAACTTAAGAAGTTGGTTCTTTTCAATGTAAAAGCATTTTTTTTTTAAAGATTATCTAGACCAAACCCGCTAGGGTAGTTAAGTGCCACTAACTGTAGTGGAAATTCTTTACAATTGTGCAGAAGTAGCCTGTAATATTATACACCTGCTTTCCCACCTTTGCTGTACTGTTTGGCATTTAATTTCATGCATAAGACCTCTAATTTATTATTTAATATTGCACCATTGAAGACTAGCCACTTACGGTCTACACAAAGTAGCAGCATCTGTAAAAACAGTTAGCATACTAAAATGTAATAAAGAATTTTAAAATATTATTCAGTAAGAAGAGGTAGTACTAATACCTTGCTGAGGAAATGCCCCTTGTTGAAGTGTACATTTGTAACAGCAAGCTGTGCAAACAGAGAACTCTTTAGCCTAACACATGCAGTTAACTCCAACACTTGAAAATTTTTTTATGAAAAATGATTAAGATGAATGTCACTAAAATTTACCACTGGCTTTCTGATCCTTTCTCCTCTATCAGATGCTCATCCTGTAATTCTTGTGTTTCTTTTCAGATTGCAACTGTATTACACACTACTGTCTGCAGTCTGAAGAGTGAATTTACTCTCTTCTCTAGCCCTTCTGATGGGCTGTATCTTCTAAAAACACATATATACACACACAGGCAGATAACACACAAGCAAACAAAATACACTAACTTCAGTTTCTAAGTATTTACAGTCTACTGTTTAATGTAAGTAGCATTCAGCTAGGGATGCCAGTTACTCTAATCAAAATGTAATGTTGCCACAATTCAAGAGCAGCACAAGCAGAAATGAAAATGGAAATGAGCAAGAATATTTCACCCACCAGAAAGCAAATGCAGAGTTAGTGGCGCACTGACAAGAGCAACTGTGGCCTGCTCTCTGGATAGCAGCAGTTCAGTAGATAGGTAATAAGCACAAGATTTAGTATTAAAGATTCAAGAAAAAAACGTTTGCAATTGCACCACAGGATGCAGCTAATTAGAAGATTCACTTAGCACAGTTATACTTCAAAAAAAGCAACCAAGACACACACACATAAAAAAAACCCCCAAAACAACAACAAAAAAACCGACAAGAAGAAGCAAACACCCAACCATTACTGAATAGTGACAATTCAGTTACTGGATCTACACTGTCTGTCTGCAAGAATGCTCATTCCATACATAACATTTACACTCAGAAATTCATTGCATAGAATAACTTTTATAAGCAGTTTATAACTGTACAGGTTTTATTTTACAATTTAAAGACATTCAAATTGCATTGACAGGTACTATACAGAGATCAAGAAAAGGCTTATTTTTTCCTGAATAGCAAGATTTTTTCCCCCTGCATTTAATCTTTGACTCCTTAATATGCAACAAGAGACATTTCATAATTCTTAAATATCGACATAATTTTGGTATTTAAAAAATATCAATTCCACCAGAAAAAGATCATCACCTTTATTTGATCCCATTAAAATGCATGCATATTAAGGCAGATAAATAAGAGGGAAAAAAAAAAAAAGTCTAAATTTACAAGCCCTTTCTCTACCTCAAAAAAAGGGGGGGGGGGGAGCCCCCGTCAATATAGAAACAACAAAAGCGGTGGTGTAATATTAATATCAGCTCCACAGCCTTAGCATAGGGGATCTCCAACTGTTTCAGCTGTAAGCTGAAGAGCCATGCTATAAGAACCAAGACATCGTTAACGTAAAACGGTAATTATTACCAAGCTGGCATCACAAGATCAGAGTCCAATACACACATTTTGTACCTTGGTGCTGGATAGTGTTACTTGAAGCCTCAGCCTAATAGCCGGTTTATTCATAAGGCACGCACTAAAATGAAACAAACAGTAATTAAGTGCTGACAGTGACCTAGTTAGCTACACGAGGAGCTAGATCGTCCTGTCATTCATTACAGGTTCGCCGGAATCCCTCAGGAACGGCCCCGTCCGCCCGGGCTGCGCGGGAGGGCGGGAGCGGGCAGCAGCTCCCCTCGCCCGGCCACCCCCGGGCTCCGGCGCCCGCCGCGGCCCGGCGCCTCCGCCACCCGCTCCCCCGGCCCCCTGGAGCCCTCGGAGCCCAGCGAGCTGGGCCCCGGCGAGCGGCGGGGCCGGGGCGGGCAGCGCCAAGGCCGCCCGCCTTCGCCTCTCCCTTCCCCTCCCCCGCGCGGCAGCTCCGGCAGCTCCGCGCTGGGATAAGGCAGCCTCTGACTCGCTCGCTGCTCGCGTCCCCCTTCACCTCCCTCCTCTCCCTCCCCCAACGC